TGCCAGTTACTCTCCCTACCCAAAACATATATTCAGCTTGATTCTAGGGAATTAGTATTAACTGTCTGAGCCCCCATGCAGCCTTTCCACAGATTCTCTGAAAAGTCTGCAATGTCCTGCAGTCTACCCAGATGTCCTTGTAATAATGTTGGCTGACATTTTTGGAATAGACATGTAGGTCACAGCTGAGAGGCTCCTAAGATTGCTTGAGGCGTTTGGGAGGGGTCTCCAGTAAAGAGCAGTGAGCAGAAGCCAGGGAGCTGTATGCCTCAGCCAACAAGTGGGGATATGAGCCCACCATTGTCTTCCAGGTTGTAGTTTCAGAGACCTCAGAAGCATGATGTGTAATGAAATCCAGTGCCTGGGTTTTCAGCTGCTCTGCATTGTGGAGGTCAGCCAGGATGAGAGTTCGGGCAGCAGTCTCCACGGAGAGGTCCTTGCAGAGGGCATCCTCACACATGACCTTCAAGCGCACCAGGCCATACTTGTCAGCAGCTGCCAGCACATCATCTGCCATGCTGTGGAGGTCTGGTGCCTCCCGGTATAAATGAATCCCATCATTGCCTTGAAGACTTGCAGCTCCAGATCATGGATCTCAATGCGTATTTTTCTGCTCTCCTCCATGCCATGTTCAAACATGGCTCTGAAAACTGGAGAGCGAGCTGCTAAGATGGCCTTGTGAGCCCGGAATTCCTGGCCAGCTACCACCAGGCAGCAGTCTGTGAAGATGGGATTCTCCCACAGCTCTCCTAGCTCGTCTGCCATTGTGCACCTTGGAACCTGGATCCCTGGGTTCGTGCTCTCTCCAGAGACCACATTCATCTTGCACAGCAGGGTGAGTTTGTAGTCTGGGAGAAGCCAAGGCTCCAGGGTCAAGAGGAAATCTCGAGGGATAAACTTTTTGTATGCCCAGTGGTGGTTTTGCAGAAACCTGAAGAATGTTGGGCTCTTTATTGTTTGGGATTTCTCTCCTTCTGCATTGATGATCCATAGCTGGAACTTTGCCCATACTGGGTTCTTTGGGCAGCTGAGCAGCCCTAAGGAAACTGACAAGTAACCTTTGCTTTCTTCATCGACCCCGTTCAGGTGTATTTTCATACACCATTCAAGTGAGTCATTTGGACCTGATGAGAAAGTGGGACTTTTAATGTTTGCCCCATGCATTCGCTCCAAGTAAAAACGGAAATTGCTGATGGTCCACTTGTAGGAGTATTTCTGGATGCTGATCTGTGTGTAGCCCCAGCTCTCCACTGCCAATTCCTGTGACATATCTTCTTGTGGTGTTTTGAAGATTAACCTCGATCCAAAATAAAGAACTAGAGTTTTCCTTCTTTAATCTGGAGGTCACAATTAGAGATAATAGTTAACGTTTTAGTTTCTATTTTCATCTCTACTCCCTATTATTTGTGTTGAAATCTTGGGTTTCTGTGACATTTTCAATCAAGGATGTAATATAATTTTCAGAGAACACATTCTAGTCTCCTGGGGACTGCTACATAACTCCATTTTTCCAGATTGAATCTTAGCCCAACTCTTACAATCCAACCACTCTCACCTCCAGAGAGAAGTCTATTTCAGACCCCAGTCCAATGAGTCCTTTTAGTGGAACTACTGGTGCACATTTGGGCAATGCCATAGCAAGCCAAATGCATTTTGGGACAGAAAGCAGTGCAAGGACAGGGTCCTGGATTCCCATCCACCTGGGGGATAATCTTTGGATTCTTTATGCATATACACTTATTGGAATTTGAAAAAATGGATCCTGATGTGTCAATCATATTAACTGCTATCTTGGTATCACTATATATCTGTTGTATGTCCCATACACTAAAGGGAGATACCGACTCTGATCCACCTGGCAGTCACAGGATTTCCCCATCAGATGAGCCAGGGTAACTTTGGTGTTGTGTTGGTTTCCAAATCTTCCATCACTGGGCAGGATGAGCATCATTGATACCAGGGGGGCTTCCATTCTAACCTATGAAAGAGCTCATCCATATGTGAGGACCATAATGACAATCAACTTTACCCAGAAACCCCTCAAGAGCCATAGCAATCCCGCTATTGTTTCTCTGAAGCCAGGTGAAATCTGTTGTCTTAAAGGGAGTTACAATAAGATGAGGTTCTATGCCAAACAGCCGGACAGAGGTGACCCTGCCCTTAACAATGCAATCAGCAATCTGATTGGTTATTGACTCTGAGGGCACCACCAATCGAGAGGTGAATCCAATGTATGGGCTCACACTCTTGTGAGCATAAGGCAGTACATAACATTTCCCTAAGAAAAACATAAAGGGTGAGGGGCAAAAGAGGATCATACCTCCCTAAGTTTGCTGTGTCTATGGCCTGTTGAACTTCACTTAAAATCTGTAAATGGTCAGCAGATAGAATTATCTGTGAGGAGAGATCATGACCTTTTAGGAGGTCATACAAAGGAGCCAATTCCTCAGTAGTTATAGAAATCTAGGGCCTCAGCCAATTAATTTCCCCCAATGTCTCTTGGAGCTAGGGCAAGGTATAAGAATCCTGAATGTGAAGTTGGGGTTTAACAGGAGAGACAGTATCACAGAAATAACATGGAACCCAAAATCTTAAAAGGAGGACTAGTCTGAATCTTTTCAGGAGCCACCTTAAAATCATTGGCCTCTAATATAGCAAGACAATTGGCAGTAAGATCTTGGAGGCCAGATGGGTTAGATCAACCCAAATAATATCATCCATATAAATATAGAATAATATATTAGGATGACCAATCAAGGAAGAAAAATATGTAACATATAATACTGACAAATAGGAGGGCTATTGGCCATGCCCTGGGGTACGACAGTTCATTTAAATCTTAGATCTGACCCACAAAAATTTGTTGAAGGTATGGAAAATGCAAATTCTTCTACATCATCGGAATGTAATGGGATAGAGAAAAAATAATCCTTAATATCAATAATAGTTAAATAATGGATGTTGGGAATGCCTGGAATCCAGGGGAGTCCCCTTTGCAGGGTCCCAAAAGGTATCATCCTCTCATTTATTTTCTTCAAATCATGTAAAGCCTCCAAAAGCCACTGAACTTTTTTTTAAATAACAAAACCCAGGGAATTCCAGAGGCTTGTTGAAGTCCCGTAGATAACCGGGCAGTGGTACCCAAAAGCATTCAAAATTAACTAGGAACACAGGGCGGGCTTTCTGATTTCATTCTGCCTGGATGCATCATTCATCCTGAAAAAATGTGCTCCACTTCAGAAACATGAATCCGGGAAGCACTGCCCTAGCAAGGTCCTTCCAATCCTGGGTTTGGGCTCTGAGAAGGCCTCTTTGAGTTCCTTTAAATCATGTGCTTCCCAGGGGTACCAGGAAGCCAGGCGGTTACCACCGGGGTTAACATTGACAGGAAAAAGATTGGTCATTTCTCCTCCAGAAGCATCCTCCCCGCAGTAAGGCAGTGGTGCAGGGGGTTTCCAGAAATGATTAATAGGGGGACCTGGAAGTGGTGTGACCTTAGACTGCCAAGGAGCACTTTCAAAAGAAGTCTAGGGATGAATACAGGGGCACAAGGAGGTGTGAGGGACTAGGATTTGGCTTTGGTTTTTCCAGAGTTTCTTTATCTCCTTTTGTCCCTTCCTGGATTGGGGCCTCACTCTTCTCCCTACGGGGTTGACGGGGGAAGCAACCCTTTAAGACAGACACTGTTGTACAAAGACTGGCCCATAATTTATGGGGGTACACTCACCCGCAGACCGATTGCCCCTTCAGTGTTCTTCAGTTCCTCACATGGGGCACCATCTCTGCAGGGTCCTCCCTGCAGGTAGAGCAGGGAAGGGCCAGTCCAGCTGGGGGCTGAGCAGGATGGTGAGTGTTGATGACTCAGACCCTCCCCCCACTAGTTGGGGGGGTGACACACTGAGTCGGGAGTCTGTCGAAGCAGGATCTTGATTTATTCCAACAGGCAGGAACTTATATAGGACTGAGGTAGGGATGGGAATCTTGGGATAGGGTAAGGTGACATGAGGAGTTAAGGGCCAATAGTATTCCACCAAGCAGGCAGGTAGCTAGGCAGAGGGCAATCTTGCATCAGGTCTGGCTGAGTCATGCCCACATGGAGGTTACAGTTTAGAGACAGGTCGCCAAACTCTAGCCAGGCTCAAGAGCTTACACTGGGCCTAGCATCCAAGCCTTTCTTAGGCCCAACAAACTTGTGCTGGTTATTCTTAGTTCCCAACTGGATCACACCTGGAATTAACTAAAATTCAAATATGGAGGGCACAACTGTGAGAAATGTTTTATATAAGTTGAAGGAGATAGATCCACTTCAAATACAGACTTTGGAGGTCAAAAGACACAAACATTTAAGCTGAATATCAAGGCCTAAAGACACACACCTTTAATCAAGATCTTGATACTAGGAGACACACCCTAAATTGGGACGCACCTTCAGCTGGGAGCATATAAAAGGATGTGGAAGACATCTTAGCTTGCTTGTATTCACCTTGCCCCAAGTTCATTCCTTCACTAGAATTGGAGAATACTTTCTGGAATTCCAGTATACACCAAAGACCAGTCAACATGTCCAACCTCCTGGACTGAGTAAATACTGAATTCTTAGACTTTCTCTTAACAGTTAGACATTGTGGGATTAGCATGGCTGCAGCCCTAAATCATTCTAATGATTACCCTTTGTTCACACAGAGAGTCACTGTATATATTCTGCTACTCTAGAGAACCCTAGTACAACATTTTTGATATGAGTGTACAAAATATTCCAAATTTTCAGCAATTTTCTATAATTAGTTACCTATTGACCTAAGAATCAACCTAGAAAAAAATGAAGTGATGTAACAGTCCCTAGTAGCCTAGACAATCTATACTAGTAACTACTATTGAAATCTGGATAGTGAATTTTCAGAGAACCACATTTCCAACCTCATAGAAGAAGGAACAGAGGAGAGACAGAAACTAAAAATATAAATTGTGACTATTGTGTCCCACAGGGTGAAGAAAACAAATCCAAGTTCTTCATTTCAGATTCATTTTAACTTCAGACTACCTCCAGTAGAAATGTCAGAGGACAAAATAGCCCAGAGCTGGGACTACAAACATTTCAGGCTCCAGAGTTTCTTTTCCAAGTGGACCATCGGCAGCTTCAGATTTTCTATGGAGAAAATGCCAGACAGCATTAGAAGCCCAACTTTCTCAACAGGGGATAATGACAAGTGGTGTTTGAGACTACACCCAAATGGGGTAGATGAAGAAAGCAGAGATTACCTGTCAGTTAACCTAGAGTTGCTCAACTGCTCAAAGAGTCCCCCTTGGAGCACAGTTCCAGTGTTGGATCATTAACATCCAAGGGGAAAAAACTGAAACTACAACAAGGTCAAAAGCCTTTACCTTCCTGCCAGGCTATGAAAGAGGTTTCAAAAGGTTCATCCTTTGAGATTTCCTCTTGGCACATGTACATCAGCTTCTCCCTGAAGACAAGCTAACCCTCCACTGCATGGGAATCATGTTCCAAGACTTATATCAGCATCTCCGACCTGAGCATGAAGCCAGGGATCCAGGTTCCAATGTGCAGGATGGCAGATGAACTAGGAAAGCTGTGGGAGAATTCCCTCTTCCCAGACTGCTGCCTGGTGGTAGCTGGCCAGGAATTCCGGGCTCACAAGGCCATCTTAGCAGCTTGCTCTCCAGTTTTCAGAGCCATGTTTGAACATGACATGGAGAAGAGCAGAACAAACCGCATTGAGATCCATGATCTGGAGCCTCAAGTCTTCAAGGCAATGATGGGCTTCATTTACACCGGGAAGGCACCAGACCTCTACGCCAAGGCAGATGCTGTGCTGGCAGCTGCTGACAGGTATGGCATGGAGCGCTTGAAAGTCATGAGCCAGAGAGCCTTTGGCAGGGACCTCTCTGTGGAGAATGCTGCCCACACTCTCTTCCTGGCTGTCCTCCATAGTGCAGAGCAGCTGAAAACCCAGGCACTGGATTTCATTACAGCTCATGCTTCTGAGGTCTCTCAGACCTCAAGCTGGAAGACAATGGTGGCCTCATATCCCCACTTGGTGACTGAAGCATACAGCTCCCTGGCTTCTGCTCACCACTCTTTACTGGAGGGCCCTTTCAAAGACCTGAAACAGTGTTAGGATCCTGTCAGCTGTGACCTACAGGTGTAATCCAGAAATAGCAGTCAGCCTTGTTACCAAGGACACCTGGATACACTTCGGGACATGTGTTAGCATTTACAGAGAATCTGGGGAAAGACAGCATGGGGGTTTGGGCCTTTAATACAGCTGCAAATGAGTTGAATGGCAGATTAGGGAAGAGGCAGTGCTGGATTTTAACATATTCTACCCAACCTCTACCCTGTTGCTGTACTGGTTTGTTTTGGTTACTGTTATTCAGTGTAGTTAATGCCTCAATCACATCCCAACAGCATTTCTTTAGAAGAACCTGTTTGGATTAAACTGAGAGAAGCATATTATCGAGGGCTCTGAGCAAAGGATAAAATATGGATGCTTGCTTACAAGAGAAGGGAAAGAGAAAGAACACATATTTTCTCCAAACTCAGGGTGTGGGGTCCTGGAAAGTTGACTCAGGTGGCAAAAGCAATTGTTGTTCTTACAGAGGACATTATCTTAGACAATATCTGTAGACAATATCTTACCCAAATAAAATATAAAATGAATTAAAATTGTAAAAATAAGTTTGTGGATTCTTCTTTGAAGAAGCACATGTTAGTCCATCCAGATAATGTCAGCTGTGGAAGTTTGGGCAGGGTTCTCACCGTCACACACACAAAAGTCAATAAAATGACACCTAATGAAATTCTGTTATGCTCAGAGATTGGTGCCATGCCCAGTCTTCTTCTTTCTCCAGCAGCTGGTGGGAGCAGATACTGAGATCCACAACAAAACATTAGACAGAGCTAGGGAAACTCAAGGAAGAGGGGAGGAAGTATTGTAGGAGATCAAACAGAGCCCACAGAATCTACCAAAGGGGGATCACAGAGCTCACAGAGACTCAAGAGGCCCTCACAGAGCCTTCATGGGTGTGTACTATGCCCTGTACCATGCTTTAGGTGTTTAGCTTGGGATTTTTTGTAAGACTAACAGTGGGTGTATAGGAATACTCTGACTTATATGTCTGATCTCGAGTACCTTTCCTTCATTTTGGGTGCCAGCCTCCAGGCTTGATATGAGGGTTTGTGCTAAGTCTTATTGCATCTTGTGATGCTATGTTCAGTTAATATCCCCAGAGGGGCTGCTCTTTTCTGAAGGGAAACAGGAGTAAGTACTTCTGGGTAGAGTGGAGGGAGGGAAGGCTATCAGAGAATGATAAATGAAAAGGAAAAAATAGAGAAAAGCTTTTGAAGAAGTATTTGGACCGATCTGCAAAAAACAAAAGTGTTAAGGTCCCTGTGTCTCCTGTAAATGCGCATGAAAATGTATCTTTAGCAGAGGAGGAGTCCAATAATCATGTAGATAGGGTGACACATTCTGTGGACACTCGCCTCATTCCAAGTCATGCTTGTTATTGCCTGATGGGTCCTTGCTCAATTTAGCCATGGTAGCTGAGATGGCAGTTATCCATAGGCTCAACAACATGGACATGCACTCATCAAGACTCACCTGGTTATAGCTGCTGTTAAACACCAGATCTGCCAATCACAGAGACCAACATAGAGCCCAAGAGATGTGACAGTTCCCCAGGCTGATCAGCATACAACTTAGTGTGATAGGATGACTACATTGGACCACTTCAGCTACGGAAGGGACACACTTTGTCCTTACTGGAATAAATCTTTTCTAGTTATGAATTTCCCTTTGTTGCATGCAGCGATTTTACCAACCTACCACACAAGGACTAACAGAATGCCTTGTCAACCTTCATGATACTCCACACAGTGTACCTTCTAACCAAGGCACTACATTCATAGAGAGCTGCAGCTCAGAGCTGGTGGGAGTCACAAATCAATGATTGCTCTAACTTGAGGCCTGAGACAAGATAAGGAGGCATTTCCCGGCACAACCTGGATGGCCATGAACCAGAAGCTACATGGCACAGAGAGCTCAGGTGGAACTAAACGTGACTGAAAAAGAAAAGGTCAATGAAATGATTATTTTTCTCTTTTTTTCTTTTTCTTCTTTTTATGTGTTTTCCAGGCAGAATTTCTCTGTATAACTGCTCTAGCTTTCCTGGAACTCACTCTGTAAAAACCAGGCTGGCCTTTGACTCCCGAGTGCTGGGATTAAAGGCGTTTGCCATCACTGCCAGCATTAAAATAATTCTTCATGAAATTCTGTTATAGTCCTATATTAGTGCCTAGCCCAATTGTCATCAGAGAGTCTTCCTCCAGCAGTTGATTGGAGCAGATGCAAAGACCCACAGCCAAACATTAGATAGAGATCAGGGAACCTTGCTGAAGAGAATGGGGTAGGATTGTAGAAGCCAGAGGGCTGGAGGGCACCAGGAGAACATGGCCCACTGAATCAACAAGTAAGGTTCATAAGGGCTCACAGAGACTGAAGGACTTATCACCGAGTTTGTATGCATGGGTCCTCTTCATATATGTTGTGGTTGTTTAGCTTGGGATTTTTTCTGGGATTCCTAACAGTGGGAGTGGGGATATATCTGACTCTTTTGATGTTCCTATGACCCTTTTCCTTCTACTGAGTTGCCTCATCCAGCATTGATATGAGGGTTTGTGCCTAGTGCTAATGCATCTTGTTAAGCTGTGTTTGTTGATATCCCTGGGAGGCCTGCCATTTTCTTAAGGGAAACAGAGGAGCAGTGGATCTAGGAGCCAGAGGAGGTGAGAGGAGGACTGGAAGAAGTGGAGAAAGGGGAGCCTGTAACTGGTATGTATTGTTTGAGAGAAGAATAAATAAGGAAAAAAAAGTCACTTCACCAAAAAAGGCCAGAACCAGACCGTTTTAGCAATAAATCCTACAAGACTTCCAAAGAACAACTAACACCAATACTCCTCAAATTATTCCATTAAATAGCAACAGAAGGAAAACTGACCAACTCATTTATGAGGCTACAGTTACCCAGATACACAAACTACATAAGGACCCAACAAAGAAAGAGTATTACACACCAATTTCCCATATGAACATAAATGCAACATACCCAATAAAATGCTCACAACCCAAATCCAAGAACACACCAAAAGATCATCCACCATGCTCATGTAAGCTTCATCCCAATGATTCAGGGATGGTTCAATATATGAAAATCAATAAATGTAATCCTCCATTTATTGAAATGAAATTGACAAACAAAAAACAAAGGCAACAATAGTATTTTTATGGAATTCCTGAGTGTGAGAACAAGTGGGTCTCTGATTCTTCTGCCTGCTCTTGGGCTCTTTTCCTACTGCTGGGTTGCTTTGTCTGACTTCAATATGATGTTTTTGCTTTACCTTATTATATTTTATTTTTCATTTGTGGTTGTTATCTTTGAGAAGCCTCTTCTGGGTTTTTTGTTGTTATTGGGTAGTTTCTGTTTGTTTTTGTTTTTGATATTTGTTTTTCTAGACAAGGTTTCTATGTGTAACAGCCCTGGTTGTCTTTGACACTATATTTGTAGGGCAGGCTGGCCTTTGCTGGTCTATGCTTTCCCAATGAGAGACAGAAAGGGCATGATCCAGAGAGGAGGAAATGAGACCCTCTTTCTACAAGCAGCAATTTCTAAGCATCTGTTTAATCCTTTAGAAATTATAAGTAATTACTATTTTGGAGTAGGAAGTAGAAGTAAATGAAAAATAGATAATTGACTCCAAATTACCTTCTCTTAAAAAGGACCATGGTTCCCAGAATCAATGTAATCTCTAATATCTGAACTTATTGCATATGTCTAAGGGCTAGAATTAGACACAGAGTTTAATGACATTTTTTTGTTTATTTTTATTTTTTCTAATCATTTTCCTTTTTGCTTATTCATTTATTTATTTATTTACTTATTTATTTAAGGGGGGCTTTCCTGTAGTCCATGCTTCACTCTGACTCACTCTGAAGTCCAGGGTAGCCTTGAACTCTTCGCTTTCCTATCTCTATTTCTGGAGTGCTAAGGTCTTGACACAAGGTTATCTTGTATTATCTGGGTGGATAATTGCATCACATGAGTACTTGTAAATGGAGAAGAAACTGCAAAGAAGCAGAGAAAGACTGACAAAAGAAGAAGATATTTTCATGAGTCTTGTCTGGGAGCCCAAACCAGGCTGTTTGAAACCATCTATAGGCTGAAAAAAGGCCACAGTCTCCAGTACACTGCTGATGGCTCCATGGGAGCCCTTCTGGATTTCTGACTTTTTTGTCCTATACATGATTGCATCATGAAAAAGCATTATTCTTTAGCCATTGCAGAGTTAGAATATTAATTTATGTTCTTTTGCCTTATCCTATAAAAGTGAAGTTTGGAGAGATTATATTAATAAAATTTGTCAACAAATTCTGTGGCTTTTCCTTTGTATATAGACATGAATATTATAATAGCATTTCCTATAGGCTGGGCAGTGGTGAGCATGCCTTTAATCCAGAAAACAAAAGGAGATCAAGGAAATACAAATCAGAAAGGGAGAGTTCAAACTCGGCTGTAACAGCCCTCTCCAGGAGAGGAACAGGGTTGATATATCCTTCATGGAGATCATGACCCACCTCACTCCAGCTTCAGTTAGCCTGGCTTCCTGAAATACCAGGACACCTCTCTTTCCAGTGCTGAACTGTCCCGATATAGTTCCAGCCTACAGACCTGTCCTTGGTTGCCTGGGTTTCCAAAAATTAGCAGCCAGCCCTCCAATATCAGGCACCTGCAGTTTGACATCTTGACAATTTCCCCTGCCTTCTGAAGCCTTACCACCCTCTAATGGGTTGACATACATTCAGATCAGTCTTGGAAGTATGTATGAAGTTGGAAAGATGATTTAGTGTCAGTAAGGAAAGTATTACTTAGAATGTCATTTAAGATTTATAGATATGTGGACCCACTGTCTAAAGCAGCAGTTCTCAACATGTGGGTTGCAACCCCTTTGGGGGAGTCAAAGGACCCTTTCACAGTGGTTGCCTAGAGACATCTACATATCAGATATTTACATTATGATTCAAAACAGTACAAAATTGCTGTTATGATG